ATATATTTCTATATTTCCTCTAAATTTCAAGGTCATATTTTGGCTCTCATGGACTTGTTTTCAATTTCTTCAGCTTCAGTTTGAATTTGCATATGAATAATTGATGGTCTGTTCCATAATCTGACCCTGGCTTTGTTTTCATTGATGATATGGAGCTTTTCCATGGTCTCTTTCTGCATATGTAGTCTTTTTGATCTCTGTGTATTTCATCTGGTGAGGTCCATGTGCATAGTCATCTCTTATGCTGTCTTAAGCTATTTGAAATGAACAAGTCATTGGTTTTGCAGAATTCTATCATGAGTTCTCCAGCATCATTTCTATCACCAAAGTCAGTGAGGATGAAATAGAAGAATTCAACCAACTTCTTCAATCTGAAATTGGTCAAACATGCAATCAAAATGTATTGATCATTACTGGTGATTGGAATACAAAGGTTGGGAGCAAAGAGGAAGGATCAGTAGTTGGAAAATATGGCCTAGTCTCATTAGGGTGTAGTTAAAAAAAAGGAACACTTTTTATGCCATTGAATAAAACAGTTCTGAGGTGAGGGATAATACCAAATTTTAACAAAAGTCAAATGGATATCTTCCCAAATCATTGAAGTATTGCAACAAGTTCACAGGAATGTTGCTCCACATAAAACAAGAGTTTTCAGATGGATCAAGTATTTTAAGGTTGATTGTGAAGACCACAGAAAAAAATGAGATGAAGAATCATCAACCTTGATGATATATTTACTCTACTTAAAGTATTTATTAGCATTTATATAATTTTTATAATTTAACTCTACTTAAAGTATTTATTAGCATTTAGAAAAACTGATGTGTTCTCTTTCAGTTCTTCTAAATAATAAAAATTTACAAAATTAATGCTAACTTATCTATAAAACCAGTAGTTAATGTTATTAAGACTAATTGTAAACTGGAGTCCTAGTGACACTGTGCGTTAATACAGTGAGCTGCAAGTTCGGTTTGAGCTATAAGGTAGGCAGTTCAAAATCATTAGCCACTCATCAGAAACCCTATACAGGGTCTCTATGGGTTGGAACCAACTCAGTGGCACTTAACAACAACAGCAGTAATAATCTAAAAATACAGAAGCACTTTTAAATGCCTGAGAGTTCCAACATTTCAAATATCATGTACCCATAGGAATTTATATGAAAAAAAATTCACTAATAGGTATTTTTCTGTTAGCATTTAAATTAAAACCTTTTATTCATCTATCATTAGCAGTTTCAAACTGATATGAATCAATAGTTTTGATTGTCTTGAATAAACATTGCTATTGGAGTTTAGTATCCATTTATAATTTTAAATTTTATGCCACTAGTCAAAAATAAATGGTTTAGTCTTTATTTTCATATACTTTACCAGGAGTGAAAATTTGATGTCTTTTGAAAACAGAAATTTGAAATTTTATAAAACCATCAAATTAAATAGTCCTTTCTACAATCCTATGTACAAAATGCTAAGCCAGTTTTGGTTCTGTGTTTAAAATATTTGAAATATTTACATATTTGGTTTATGTTTATAATTTTTTATCATTTCAATCTGATTTTGAGAAATAAATAAGCTACATAAACTCATCTTTTTTAAAGCAGAATAGAAAACTAATTTTAGGTGTCATGTGCTTCAATATGCCTATACCTAACTTGG